TCTCCCACACTGAGTCCAGGCCCCTAGAAGTAGCCAGTCCACCTCTCCTAAACTGATATTAGGTAGTATTTTGTCCCAGTCTTCTCATGGGAAGATTTGAGTAGGGTGACACTTTTTTCCTAATTAGAAACATTCTTCTACTGTCAAGTTTATACCTATTCATGGCCAGTTAATTCTCTGTTGTTCTTGTGCCAGCATTTTCTTTCAACTGAAATAAAAAGTTTTCCTTATAAGCTGTTATGACCTTGGTGCATTTACGTATTTGCTCTTAGCCTCTGTTTTGCTAAACCAACTACACCGCAGTCTTTGGGAGTACTTTTAACTGCATGCAGCCTGAAGGCAGGTGTGCAAATTCTAGCTGTGAATTAGCTCAGGTACAAGAAATAGCCAAGCCAAAGCAACTCAGAGCCTAGTTCAGACTAATTTGCCTTACTACCGAGCAAGATTCTTTAGTCTTTACTGAGTTCTCACCTCTGTTTCCTCCAGTTTAACTAATAATTTCTATGTATGTGACTTATATTGGATGCTTACTGAAATCCAGACAGATTTTTTTTTCTCATTAAAGATCAATATTGGTACAGTCTACTAGCTTTGATCTGCTCATCTGTATTTTATTTCATTTTGCATATCCTTACCCATTCTCCTTCCAAATATATTCTAATGCTTTGCATGGTATTGAGATCAGGCTAATTGAATAATAGTTACTTGCATCTTTTCCATTCAAACTCTCCCCCTTCTAAAATATAGATATTTTATTTGCCATTTTGCAATCATATAATGTTACACTCAGCTTGCTAGATTTTTTTAAATACTTGCTTCTGGGCCTGTGATTCAGGAATCAGATATTTCAAAATCCAAAGCTCTCAAACACATTATGTTTTTTAGGTTTTCCTCCCATCTCAGCTGAGATGAATTCCAACGCTGTACCTTTGTTCCCATTTACCAACTTCCTTTGTTGTCAGAGGGCTGCTGTATTTATTGAAAACAGGGCAAAACACTTATTTTAGTCTTGGAACTGTATCTACATCATTTTTAACTTGTAATGCACCCTCACTGTGGCTACACTTCCTCCATTGCTCCCCTTTCATTTATAAGGGTAAAAAAACCTGTGTTACTTGTTTCAATTTGGCAGGTGTTACTTTACCGCTGCACATCTTTATTTAAAAACATTGCCTTATTTGTTGACCAGGCCTCTTTTTCTCCCATGTAGGTCCTGGTTTACTCTAGTTTTTTTATTATATCTTTCTTGGGATGATTTTTCTTCTAGTCATAGACAAACTCTTCTTATAAGCTCCTTCCAGACTCCAGAAGCTGAATCCGCCCTCCAGAATCCCAGCTTTAGTGAAACTTCAGCACCAGTTTAAAGGACAGAGGTTAAAGTCATACTGACTGGCAGGCATGATAAGTCAGGAAATGGAAATATGCAGAAACTGTGAAAACCAGGAAGCTGAAGTATTTGCTACTTATAGATGATCATAATGACAGAGTCTCCTTGTCTGGAAAACTCTCTGATTGCAAAATGTTGCACTCTGAATACAGATAATAGATCTTTTATTACTTCTTATAAAATGAGAAGATCATGTTCTGTTAAATTATCTCTTACACTAATGACCTTTTCAAAGATATCTAATATTGCTAGTAGAAAATGTTCCCTTCGGTGAGGGATAAGCCTTTATTATCGCTAGATTTTTACAATGCAGCATATCTATCTATGAGCAAAATATTATTGCCAATAATCTTTGTGGTTCCCATATCATTGACTTCAGAGGAAAGGCTTCTAGTACTGTCAGCAACAGATTTGTTACAAGCATACAAAGAGATATTTTCTGATATTTTATTGCAGAATTACTTTCGGTCTATTAAATATTTTTCTGATTGGTGTTTCTTTGTGGTTATTCAGCTTGACAGCAGTGACATATTTCTTTTACTGGCTTTCTCAGATCTGAGAAAATTTGGTAGTATCTTATACAATTCTCATTACTTTGAGGCATTTCTCTTACAATTTATTACAATTACTTGACAACTAAATTGTCAGATGAGTTGGCCCAGAAAAGGTGGTTCAGAAAAGATGATATAACCATCAGCTGGTCAGATGAGTGACTGTCAGAAAGAAACTTCCTTCTGCAGCTTGCTGGTATCAGTCAAGCTAAATTTAAAGTGGATTCAGTGAGATAGTCATCTCCCTTAATCATTAATGTGCATAGATATCTCAGCTCAATTTTAGCATGATTGCAAATACCTCCTTGGGAAAAGCCAAAAGCGAGGACAATATGATAAAAATGGTTACTGCAATTCAAGATTAAGGGTCTGAATGGAAGATTGCACAGGACCTGACTTACAGTGCTTTCCTCTACATACTGTTGTCAATCGCTCCATGTTCATAAGCATCAATTTGACTTAACCTAACTTTGAAATATGAACAGGGAAATATGAAGGAAATTCCCACTGTGAACTGTTATATGAACAAACTGGAAGTATGAACATCATTGAAGATTTGATGCTTCAACCTGAGCAGCTTTCAAAAGACTTTTTCCCCGACTTGGAAAGCAGGTATGTAACTGCATCAGAGACTCAGCGGCAGAAGCAGCAGTCAGCATGAAATTAAGCCCTAAAAAATAAATTTTTACTGTGTAAGAGACAGATATCTACACATGAACTGAGCATTTAGCATCGAAAAGACGCGCTAAGAATGAGCTTTTAGGGTATCAATACACCAGTGTTTAACAAAGGTAATACTCTTAATAACCCTATGTGCAATGTAAGACAGATTCTTTCTACAGCTGAGAAATCTCCACAGAGACATTGCTAAGGACAATGTGATAAAAGATTAAGAAAAATGTTCTAGGAAAATCATTATAAATGCTCCACTCATTAAAGTAATAGGGTAACGTTGACTGTTTGATAACAGATTTGTGGCCAGCTCAGAGGCATTTGGATATGATAACGACGGCTCCAGTGAGAGAAAGGGATTGCTGGCCAGGGTGACCTTTACATAATATGCAGCCTCACAAGCAAATCTTTACATAAATCCGTGGTATGCGCGCCACAGCATACGATAATGGAGGTGAAGCTGGAAATAGAAAACGTATCTAAGAGGAAAAAACAGTAAGGATTTTCTATAGAAAACCTATTCAAGCTGCGATGTCAGATTATCACGATGGGGCCTTCTGGGCCTGAGGGAGGATCACAGTGGGTAATTCACCGCATGTCTTCACTACAGCATTCACTTGACTGATTAACTCCGGTGGTCCTGGCTCAGGTGCGAGTGTCTGCGCTGCTAAATCACACTGATGTCAGCCCTGTACAGCGTTGGCAGGTGAGGGAGCACAACTTTTCAGGAGGGTGTGTATGTGTATGTGTATGCGTATGCATATGTGTATGTGTACATGGGTGTGGGTGTGATCGGGGTGGAGAATCGTAGTCCTAGCACCACAGGAAGTTGAGACAACAATGAATTGTTTTGCAAAGTACTGCAGGAGAACCTGACTGTCTGTTCCAGACACTCAGTAGAAATACTCTACCAGTAAAAGGTAAGTACCATGGGCTTTTTATTTCCATTTCTCTCTGTGTGGCATCTGTTCCAAAGTCTAACAGGCTTAGAAAGGATATACGAGCGCATTTGTCCCCAAGCTCCTCATTAGGGCTATTCCCATTTCATTAAATAGTCGCAGGCCATATGATGTAGCTGTGGGCACTTTATCAGCTGCTTAATACCTGAAGAAAGTGGTGAAAGTGCCATGCAGAACAAAGATGTCAGGCAGGAGACAGCTGCCTGGCTGAAATGTACCACCAGCCTGGAAGAATGCACAGCACCTGAGAAACGATGTGTCCGGGCTCCTTCCAGGAGCAAGGTGAACCTCACGGCACTGTTACAGGAACTTGCTCTTGCCTGTCAGTGTAAAGTGAGTTGCGGTGTGGCCCAGAAAGCGGATAACCCCAAACAACATCACTTTGGGCTGGCAAGTTAACAGTCGGTGCCACAATGTGGAAGAAGCAATTACTGCTGTGATTTGTTGCGGTGGGCAGCAAAGATGTAATACGCCTGAAATAATCATGGTCTTGGGTGCCACAAAGAATTATGGGGTCTTTACTATCACCTAAACACCTCTTGTTTGGCCCCAAGAGAGTGACTGTAAGACGATAAACAGAACTTCATTATAGCCATGCACATCCTCTTAGAACAGTTTATTCAGACAAATGATGTAAAGCTGTATTACACAGCTTTACACGTTTTTATTTTTTATTTACACAAAGTATTACAATTTTTTTAACATAGGGCAAGCAAAAAGTATTTTTTATTGTAAGACCACAGTGGCCAAGCTTGCATGGTCTCCCTGCATAACACCTTCTGTTGCCTCCATCAGAGACAGGACTAGATGGAACAATGGTCTTGTGTTCTTAAAATAGAACAGCATGGCAACTAGGCACTTAGGTATATTAAATATTTGATATAGTAAACCTATCACTGTCCATTGCAACTGTTTATTAAAAAATATCTATTCTAGGATGGGGGGGTTATCTTTAATCTCAAGGAGCTGATGTGCAACATTGTAAAATTTCCAAATATTCCTTTGCTTGTTCTTTATTCACTTCTATTTTCGGATAGCTTCCTTTACTTCCTAATTGCCAAATGTCTAAGGGAACAATTCATGCTTCTTTCATTCAAACATCAAAAAAAATCTAGCTTCTAGTCTAGGGTCCATCAAAGAGAGAATGGTGTTTCCAGAAGATGACTCAGATCAACAATTTAAGCATCTTTTTATGATGGGATGAATTATCTCCTGAAGATGCTAGCTTCTCTCCATTGACTGCTGAGGGAAAATACATAACTTATGTTGCCCAGCTGTCTAACTTTTAGGCTGCTAAAGTTAGATGGGATGTATCCCATCCTTGGTTTCCTTAATCTTAGAAAACATAGTTGTGTAATATATTCTGAGCCATCATTTTTGTCACCCTCTTTTTTCTAGTATTGTTCTCCTCTTATATAAAAGGCTCTCCTTTCTTATATCTAACTCCCTTGCTAGTGTAAATCTAGCCTACCTTTTTTGTTATTCTGCGTACTAGTGAGGCTGATCGAGCAATTTTTTCTAGATGTCTTCCTTTCCCATTATCTGTATAGTAATTCATCATTTCATTTAAGGACCCCCCCAGTCTCAGTAGCACCCAAAAAGTAAGTATGTGCAGACTGGCTGTCCCCAGCCAGTCTACAGCTGTTCATGATGAGGCCATGTAGCAGGGAGGTGGAGCAGCTGTTGAAACCATTCTTTCACAATGGTGCAAATAAAGTCATTTGAGCCGTTCGCCCGTATGTCAAGTGACTAAAGGAGGCATCAGACAGATGAGAAAAAGGGCCAATATACTTTTATTGCTGCATTCAGGGAAGCTGAATTAAAATAGTTCAGTAAGCATTAGATTAAAGATGACTTTTCAAACTACATTTTCTACACAGTTTTAACATATTTTTGATTCATCTCCTGAGTATAGTTCAGAGTGCGTCAAGTACTAGCTGTACCTCAGTGCCTTTGAGAATTGATACCATTACAAGATCTCCAAGTTAGAAGATTCTCTAAAATCATGAGTCTGAGGCAAGACTGCAGAACGCTAGATATAACATTCAGCTCTGCAGCTGAGCTTGAGTTGATCCATCAGCCATTTAATCATGACATAGTAATCCAAACAGCAATGGCTGACAATGTCTTTTCCATTAAAAACCATTTTTTCCCAAATTAAAACAGTTTTAATATGGAGTATAATACATCTTATTAACATTTTCTATTTAGCTTTTGTATCTTTTATTTTTACTATGACAATGTCAAATTAAAGACCAGGAGGCATGACTCATCTTACACATATTGCTGTGTTTAAAGGAGAACATTTTCTCTCTCACCTACATATTCCATTACCTTCTATCCTACGTGAGCCACTATAAGTAGCACTCCCAAGTTTTCCTGTGAGTAGTTATTTTTGAATAGTGCTTCCAAAGCTTTTCTGTTGGGGAACCCACTTACAGTTTCACATAGGACTTGTGGCTCCCAGTTGGCAGCACAGGTTCTGCAGTTGAATTTTCGTCCCACCTTGGGACTCCGTTCCCAAGGACCACGATTTAATCCAGCAGCAGTTGCTTCAGATCCTGAGCGGGTGTTATGAGCCCATTTCAGAACTCTTGTTTGTACTGAAAAAGATTGATCAGACAGACAGAGCTACAAAAAACCTTTCCTATCTCTGGTCTTGTCATTTAAACTTGTCACGATTTTTATTCTAGTCAGCATAATTCCATTTTCCCATTGCAGATATGTTTCCAATGATCTCTGAATTCTGAATCGTCTTCTGAAATGCATTAAGAGCCCATTTTTGGCATCCAGTTTTATCTGTTTCTTATTTGCATTTGGCACCAGATGAATTTCTGAGAAAATCTTTTATACTGATTCTATCATCAATTCTCATCCAAGTTACCTGCAGTGACCCTTGCTGGCATTGGCTACGTTCTTCATTTTACAGTCATTTATTGTTATTACTTACTCCTATTTCCTGAAGCTTGCCTCTGCTATATGCTTTTTGGCCACTTAACCTCATTTAGACTCATCTCTGAATGATGTACTATATTGCAAAAGTTGGAGTACTTAGGGAGAAATGAGGACTGAAAGCACCAGTTTCTTGGATCCCAACCTAAGTGAGAGACTCACTGCAAAAATGTACATTGGTAATCCTTATTCTCTGTAGTCCAGCTCAGAAAACTTACAGGACAGCATGAAAACAATAACACTGCCCATATTTCATGCCTGTTAATCACTTCTTGGCCTCATTTAACCCCATTTGCAGGCTGAAGTGTGAAAGTTCCAGCTGATGCTGTTGGAAATGGACGTCTCGGTACAGGGAGCCAGAAGATCCCATTACAGTGGGTGGCACTTAGGTTCCAGGTGGTAAAGCACCCTGCTTCATATACTAAGGAGGAGTATTTATTTCTTGACTTTCAGACAACTAAGCCAGTTGTCTGTAGGTTATATAAAAGAGTGCCCTTCTGAATATACTAATCTGAAAAATGTGTTTTTTCTTATGGCTTCACAAGATGTTTGCTTCTGAATGGAATGGCTGTGAAATAAGAAGATAGTAAGGAGTAATGGTCAAGAGGGGGAGTAGAGGAGAAAACTGAGCTTGTCTTGGAGAAAGAGAAACGCTGAAGATGATTATACAGGTATGTGTCATTTCCATTATGATGACCACATTTAATCTATATGTTTCTGTACTGTCTACTCCTCCTTTTACCTCTCTTTTTAAGGAGAAAGGGCAGGACTTTACAAGATTTACTCAGTATAAGGGATCATTCCTAAACTCTTTTCATGCTGTTCTTATTCTACATTTATACTTGCCCAGCAGCTCTCTGCTGTGTGCTCTCTCCCTGCTATGTGCTCTGTCTATGTGATTTAGCTAATCAAGGCCAAGGTGCAAATTATATGACGTAGTCATAAAATGGGTCTGCTTTTTCTCATACTTCTTTTAAAAGCTTTGAAAGTGAGGTCGTTGCTTAGTCTTCCTCAGAATAAAAATCTCATTCTGCTTGTTCTTCTACCAAAGCCTAATCTTTCCACCCCGTCTCTCTGTATCAGGCTCTAAAACCTAGTCCACAGCAAAGAGCTACTACTTTTTGTAATCATATAAAGTACTGAAAACTTTGTAGGACAGTGAAACCCTGCAAGAGTGTTAAACTTGCTTTCATAAATTTCTGGTGAGCAAGATCAGACTATAGAGAAGGAACGATTAAATCTTCAAATATAGGGGCAATATGTGTTGATCTGGGGTTGTTCTCCAAACAGTTACAGCTTCAGGAGGATAGGCTTCTGGATGTGGAGTTTCCATACTTTGGATATAAGTAAATGCACCAGTGAAGCCTCTTTGCTACATGTCAACTTGGCTGTATATGTTAAAATATAGATGCACAGCTTGTCTATAAATAGAGCATATGTGGGAAGTTGTTAACTGTTGATATACACTAAGTGAAACAGTGGAGCCTGATATATAATTGCATATTGTATTGAGTATGTCATTAAAAACATCAGTAGCAGTGATTGCTTCCTGTACTTGAAATCCAATTGGGAGATGCAGGTTTCCACAGAATTTAGCCGTTTATTGTTAGGGTAGAATGTCTGAGTCTGAATTAACACTGCCAGTGATCCACAGTCTGCATTTGTTTCCAAAGGGACTTTAAAAGCTGTTTTAAGCTTTCGGTTTCCACTGGTATATGAGAGCTGTTCACAAGGTTCTTAATGATGATTTATCAATATGGGAATTCACTCCTTCTCCACAACTTCTCCAAATTGCCTACATTTGTGTTCCCTCTGAACAGGCCACGATGTTTCTTTTAGCAAAGGCATTTGGAATGAGGTAGTTTATTTGGTTTTGCTCTCCTTCGAAGCTTGTTGGCTGTGTGTAAGGAAGTCTTTTATGATGCTCAAGGATTGTATATTGTGTATTTAATTGGTGGAAAAGTGCTTAATGTCTTGGTTAGACATCCTTTTACATATGCTGTTGAAATAGAGACAACCTAGCATTCACCTGATTCACAGTGAAGAATTACAAACATTTCATACCTTCTCTTTTTTTCTGTCTAATTCAACAGGATTTATACTACGCATTTAACCTGTCCCCACTTCTTAAGAATGTAATCCACCTAAGACATACGCACTTTCCAAAAATTATTCATCCACCTATCCTTCCATATTTTGAAGTAGACCTATTATTTTATGCACTAAAATGGAAGAGTAATTTTTAGCACATTGCGTGAAGATCTAATCATGCAACGCTCATTAAAGCTAATGGAGACCGTGTTGTTAAATCACACTGCGCGTAACGTTCCATATTCCCTTAAGTGCCCTTATGTTTCTGAACTGGGAAGAGGCTGCAGTGGTGAAGATGGGTGTATACGTATTTCAGCAAGGATCTGTCTGGTACGCTTAATTTAGTTTTCAGGTCTGAGTCCAACCTCCCTGAATAACTGTTCTCATATGTGTAATCAAACTAAACCAGGCATTCCGACTTTAGGAAAAGACTTAATAAATGAAATGGCTGTATTCAGTTCAAATTAGCAATACATTTCTTCTCTGTGGGACTAGCCCAAAGACTAAAAACACCTGTTACAATTTGCAGAAGTGCTCCTGTCATTTGTGCTGTTAGTCATTTCTGTAAGAAATGTACTGTGTAGAAAGGGATTTTTTGAGCTTGGAGCAGATGAACTCTTTGGGCTTAGCTTTGTCCAAATCTAACTACCTTAGGTATTCATTCTTTCCTAACCTTTTCAATAGGGTAGGGTGGGGTTTTTTGGTGTTTTATTATTTACTCTACAGATTTCAGTTCCAATTTTACCCATACAACACTGTTGTTTTCAGCAACGGACGATGGCTTTCCCAATGCTAATCTCAACCATCAACAAAAGCCTCACCAAAGTTGTAATATGTAACTTTAGCCTTCTTTGATTTCATTAAACTTATACACCTATGTTGAGTTCAGAAAACTGACAAAATAAGAAATAGCCAGGAGGAATCAAAAAGGTGAAAGAAAAGGTCATAAAAATCCAGAGGACTTGGCTATCTTAATGACAGGTGGGCACTGAAATGAGTCTAACCGCTAATATCACCTCTGCCAAAATTCTCTGTGCCAGATGAATGGATTTCTCTAGCCTTTCATGTTCCCATATCTGGCGTCCAGGATGACCCTTAAGATCTCTGCCAGCTGTAGGATCTCTGATACTGTTTTTCTTTTTAATTTACAAAATAGTCTTTCATGCACTTTTGTATATTTTTGTTTCCCTTAAAAAAGAATTGAGTAACTCTAGAATGCAAGTCACACATGAGGCCTTCTACAAGCCATTTAAATCATTTTTTCCGCAGTTTATACTGTATGCAAAATCAATTAAAACAGTCTCTAATTCATGACTCATTGTTGTCCCCTGTTATAAATCAACCATTGCAAAGTCTGTAGCTTGCTACACATTTCATTGAAATTTATGGCCAAGCTTGTGCTATAGCAAACATTTTGCTCAGGTTTGTACTTTCTCCAGTCTTCAAGCTAAGTAGAGTAATGCATGTTCATTTCTTGAAATGGAAATGGCTATTAAAAACGCCTGATTGCAGAAGCACCTTTAGTATAGTCAAATTAACTCAAGTACTAACAGGAATACAACCTGCACTGAAGCTCATGAAATCATGGCTTCTCCCAGGAACTGCAGTACCCAATGAGTGGCTGATGTCCATGTTGCCATGGCTTTGCTGTTACCCAGACCCAAGCAGCTTTGCTCAAAACTGTCTTAGATTTGTCTTTTCCCAACCACAGAAGAAATTTACCCACAGATCCAGCGGCATTTTTGTAAGATGTGGGATACTGGCCAGAGTCTTTCTGAAGTGTTCCCAGTCAGCATGACTGTATCTTGCCCATGTAAATACAAGCTATTTTTTGCATCCTATTTCAAATGCCTCTCCTTGAACCCTACTGTTTTATGTCGCCGTATATTTTCCCTGATAACTGGCAGTGATATTTCAGTGGCTGGTGAATGGATTCACTTGTACTGCATGCAAGAATACTCATGTTTAAGACATGAAATTCAGCGATGGCGATCTGAAACACAAAATCTAAGGTTCAAACTCAATGTTCGTTTTGCTAGATGGTTTTGCCCTTACTTTGGTTAGATTTTTGAGTGACCATAAGTTATCTTGGTTAAATACTTGTAAAAAAATCCCTTATGTATCTTCATTTTCAAATAGAAATAATAGTAAATAGGAGCCCTCAGGACTGAGCAGGTAAGAACATAACTTTCTTAGGTTCTCTTGAGCTTTGAAGATAAGTATATTGTAGAACAGGATTAGACTTACATCTATTCTCTTCTAAGCCTTTTTAAGTTCAGAAAGGTGCCAACACGGATAGTTGCTGCCTGCTATCATTCTAAATGATTTTCTGAAAATGCAAGATAGTTTGTCTAATAAAGATAAACCATCTAGCAAAAATATTTGCACAGGAATTGTGTTTGCTAAGGACCTTATGCTATGGAAAAAAATGGCTTACCATGCCAAGGGATACCTCTGGAAAAGTGGCATCAGAGGTATACAATATACCCAGAGAACAGACTTAACGATCTTCTTCTGCCTGTTCCTCCTTTAATTATTATTAAATAATATCTCAGTTCTT